GTTCCTTAACAGCAACCCAGCATCTATGATGTCTGGGAGAGCATCCAGCAGCTGCTGCCTGAAGTCCTGCAGCGAAGCATCAAGGAGTTCGGCAAACCTGTCTCTGTCCATGGCTTGGAGGATTGCCCTCCGGTGCTCCTTTTGAGCAAAGAGTGGCTCCCACGCAGTGCACGTAAAATGGGCTCTCCCCTGTAGTGGCAAGTTGCCGTTTGCACCCTCTGGGCTACAGCTGGTGGATCTGCGCTCAACAGCCACACATTTAGTGATTGAATCTGATGGTTTCCAGAAAGAGGGAAATCTGAAAATGAGCCCAACATGTTATAGACCTTATTTTGGGGACCCACAAAAAGGGACCCCTAATTTTGGGAAACCCCCCTTTAGACAAATTGATACGGAGCACAAGGCTGCAAAGAAGGAAGTTCACCCTTCCTTAAAGACGGCTGTCCTGGATGAAAATAGTAATATCACTAGTACTAATAGTAGTGACAAAGCTTTAGTACTATGAATAGTGATAGCAAGAATAGTAATTGTAAAATATTCGTGATAATAACAATCATAATCGTAATGATCTGCTGCATTGAGGGGCCATAGGATATTGCTAAACCCTAGACCCTACAATGTGGTTTTTCCTACCTAGTTGATATCCAAGATGGCGTGGCTCCCTGTCAAAGCTGAGCTAGTGAGACAGCTACTTCAAGGGCCATGGAGACTTAGTAAGTAGGTGAGTAATAGGGATAACTGGGGTTCTTCTATGGCTTATAGAGGCTATTAACCCAATTACTAAGTCGCCATGACCCTAAACCTTAAATCCTAGACAAGATACAGTAGTTTCCATTTTCTTTTCCATTATGAACCTACATACTCCGTACCCATGACCCTCCAAGTAGAGAAACATGGGAGGGTTCCCTGAGATCCCCGTACATGCCCTAGGACTATGCAGAGATTATGATGAGATCCAGCGGGCCTCCCCCCAGTAACATCTAAAGGTTCGGGGTTTAGGTAAGGATTGCACCTTGACAAGTTTGAGAAACTCCTAATTAGACCCCCATTCGTTCTCCAACGCACGCATCATCAAAAAAACTTTCGAGCCCTAAACTGCAATGCACTATAACCCCTCTATAATCCCAATATGATATAATAGTTTCCATTTTCTTTTCCATTATCCCTATTTAGCCCCTATATAGACAGTCTTTCAGTACTTCCCACCCAGTCCTCCTGGCTCTCCCAGGGCTTCATGCTCTAGAGCCGAAAGAGCTATGGCAGCTATGGAAATTCCAGCAGACTCACTCTGAAACCTGACCTAACAATCGCCCCAGGGTGATGTGGTCTTGTCTCCAGTACACCAGCACACGCCACACATGTTTTGAATACATGCAATTCTGCCATGCGAGGAAACCTACCGCAATTCTCGATAGCAACCCCTTAGAGATGGGTGGCGATAGGCAGTGTTGAATGACATCTTAGCACAACCTCTGCCATGCCAGCATGGTCGGCAAGACTGCAGAGTGGCCACAGAAGCATCTACACATCTGCTTCACCGTTTCTGTGAATACGTCTTCCGCTGTAATCTTTGCTGTAGGAGGTGAACCAAGTGACCACAGGCACGCAAAAAAAAGAGAGACCGTAGACACCCTTGCCCACCAGACAAGTGCCTTGTACATGTGAACTATGGCTCCTTTCCCAGGAAGGAGTTTACGGAAGCGCGTGCTACAGAATCTGTTGCCTCCACTCTCCAGCTCTCAACTCACCCACGTCTCTCTTAAGGTATCCCAAAGTGACAAAGTGTGCCTTGTGGTTGCCAAGGACAGGTGTGGACAGATCGCAGGATGAAACATGTGACTGCTAACCACTCATGCTGCGTCATATGAGGGTTATCTTGGGGCTATATTTGGGGATTATGGAAAATAAAATGGAAACTACTATAGTACATGAGGGTTATATTGGGATTATGGACAATAAAATTTGAAACGGGTTTAGGATTTAGGGTGCTTATCGCATCGTTGCCACAGAACTGACTGTCAACTGCGGTGTAAAGGCTAAAAACACTTCACAGATGTGAGTTTCCGAAATCCCTTTTGGGGGTCCCTGTAGCCAGAACTATTGTGTTTTGGAGTCTACATTGGGGTCCCCCCCTAAATCCTAAACCCTACATTCTACACCTTAAACCCTAAATCCTAAATCCTAGACCCTAAATCCCAAACGCCCTACACCCTAAACCCTAAATTTGGGGAAACTACCATGTTGCTTCAGCAAGTGCCAGGCTGGGCGAACAAGGCTGCAGGTCTGAGAGGTAGTTCTGCTGTCAAAGCCCTGACCAACAGACAATCCCGAAAGCCTACCATACTCCAAACTGCTACCACGATAATAATAACAATACTAAGATTACATATAGTACTCGTAACAATAATAGGTAAAAACAGTACTAGTAATAAAAACTAGGAATAATACAGATAATAATAGTAATGATAATAGTAAGGATAATAGTAATGCTAATAACAGTCCTCATGATAATAGCGGTGAGAATAATAGTACTAATCAATGACAATAAGAAAAAATAACTGCCATCATAATATCTAAACCCTAAACCCTAGACCCTAAACCCTAAACCCTAAACCCCTAGACCTTAGACCCTAAACCCTAAACCCTGTAATTTGAGAGCTGTGGGGATGATCTATCCTCCTCCACACGGTCATCAAACCCAAAACAAGCCCTAAAGAGACTACTGTCCTTAAAAACCGTGGCTACATGGGTTGTTCTCAAAATTATGGGCCCCTGTCAATTGTAGATTATATTACGGCAACTAATATTCAGGGGTAGCCAAAGTGAATCCCTTATTTGAGCTATAGTCTAAACCCCTAGTATCCCCCTTAATAAGCCCTATAGTAGTCCCCTATATAACCCCTTTAAGTAGTTTAGACTATAGCTCATTTGGGGAACTACCCACATGAAATTCCGTGTTAGTTGCTGAGGGGATCCTCACGCTCTCCACGGCAAACCTGCAGCCCTTCAGCGGCACCTCACGAATTCAGCGCGCGGTCTCCCTCAATGCCCTAAGAACGATCCCTCTCTCGGGAAGCCGAAGACGCACGCACCACCTTGGTTTTATGACAACTTGTGCTCGGTACATGGAATTTTCCCAAAATGGGGGGACCCCAAAATACTATAATCCTGATTATGGGGGCCCGCAAAATGGTACCCCTAATTTTGGGAAACCCTTTACAATATATAACCCCTATATCACCTTTCGAGGTACCCCTAATTTTGGGCTACCCCACATACTATGAACCAGCAAGCGAGGCAAAGTGAGCGAGTCGATGTACCCAGGGGCTGCAGTGACTTGATGAACTCCATGTTCGCACAGGACTATTATTACTTTTATTGCTATTCATACTTTTGTTACTACTATTACTATTATAACGATGGTGACTATTTTTGTTATAATTTCATATGCATCCATAGCTTGCCGGCATCCAGGACACTCAAAAGACATCGTCCAGCAGGGCTGCCTCGCGCGCCGACACACACACACACACACACACACCAAACATGTGAGCTATAGTCTAAACTCCTAGTATCCCCCCTATAAGCCCTGTAGTACTCCCATGTTATCCTCCTATATAGCCCCCTTTCAGGAGTGTAGACTGTAGATCATGCCAAAGGGACATCGTACAGTTAACTGGACTGTGGTTAGCTGGGAAAGAAAGAATGGAAAAGAAAATGGAAGCTACCATTCTAGGGACTACTATAAGGATCCATTCCTTCATTCCTGGCTAACCAAAGGCCTGTAAAACCACGCAATCTGTGCACCCACAGCTGTGTCAAGGCTAGGCAAAGTGCGCAGCAGCACCCCTGAGGAGTGCAGTGACATGATGCGAAGGTGAAGCTTCCATGATGAGCTGTCTGTCGTCCTGACACTCTGTGCACGCCTGGTTTTCCCAAGGAGATGGACTGATGGACATGTCTGAGAAACCGAGGTCAGCAATGTCAGCACAGCTGGCATAGAGAACTTTAAACTGTGCGGTGGGAAAGAGCAGCATCAAGCTGTCCATGCTTGCAGCGCTTGACTATTGACTCAAAAGTGCTGACTGATCCAATACCCGATACTTACAACACTAGTACTATTCATACTATTCTGTCGGTGTAAGAGGATGGATTTGTGCAACCCATTGCCTACCGCAGCCGATGACAAAGAATTTCTTGCGACAGGCCTTGTTTGGCTTGGGCCTGAACAAGCCCCGTGCCGAAGGCTGAGGACCACTGCTCTTAAAGCAGGCTCAGCAATCGAAGACAAACAATTACACCACCATCGTCGCAGCCCTGTCAAATTCTGAGAATTCCAATTCCATACAACTGACCTACTTGATAAGCATCAGTAGTGTCCATTTTCTTTTCCATTACCCCTGTATGTAACCCCTATGTAAACCCAATATTACCTTATATAACCACAACATACTACAGTAGTTTCCATTTTCTTTTCCATTATCCCTATATAACCCCTATATAACCCCTATATAACCCTAATTTTTTGGAATTCCTCTCTCATCTTAGGAGC